CACCCTCTGGTGATAGAAAGGTGTTAGTAGCAGCCTCCTGTTGTAACTTTTCCCCTGATAGCTCTTCCTCCTTTAAATTTTCTTCCTCTGTCTGACTAGCTCGAGAGACCTTCTCTTTTACTTGATCTAAAATGTCTTCTCCTGACTAAGCAAACAAGATTGTACCAACGTCCATAATGGTAATGTGCCAACTGGCAGAGTTCCTGGGCTTTCCTTTTTTATCCTTTTTAAATCTTCACCATGATGGTTCCATTGTGATATATTTAATAACCCCTTTTTAATGAACCATGGGCTACATTTTTGTATTTTATCAATGTATGCCCTAACTGTTCTTGATTTTACTGGGGTGCCTCCTTCCTCTAACAATTTACTTAACACTCTTTCGGTTTGTTTTTTACTAATTTTTAATTCCATATTTCTGCTATAAAAATAACGCAACCCAACAAGATAACACAAAACAAAACCGAAGCAAAACGGAACAAAAAATCGTTGTATCAGTTTTTCCATTTTCTTGACCTGTGCATTTGTGGTCTATCTCTATCTCTTCCTCAGGGGCGAACAACTTCAAACCTTGAGCCAACCATTTTCCCCAGTTTGCCTGAGAAAGTTCTAGGGACAGGCAGCTTGAAACAAAACAAGAACACATTGTTTTTTGAAATGGTCACCCATTCTCTCCCTCAGGGGCGAGCAATTTCACTTACCCCCAAGCTTCAGGCATCCCCCGCACGGGCCACCAAATGCCACAGTCTGGCTGGGCACAAAATAACTGAGCCGCCAGGAGGCACTTGTAGGTTCAAACAGGAACTACTTTATTGCCCGAACTCTCACCCGCACTCCACGCATGCTTCCCAGGAACTCTCTCACCCACCACCGGGCTCCGCACAAACTCCACGGGAACCCCGCGAGAACTCAGCTTAATTTAATTATCATCATCTTAATGGCTCACTGGCGTCACCTCTCACCACTCCTTCTGGCAAAGCCAGGCGCCATCCCGACTCGGCTGTGGCTCTCAACACAGGGCTCCACTGAGTCTGACTCCTAGATCCTCCAGTTAGCTCCCAAGAAACCAGCAGCACTAGGCAACACCCTTTCCTCAGAGAATCTGGGTATAGCTCCTCCAAATCCCTCCAGACTTCACTTCTAGGTTCTGATAACCTCAACCTTCTTGCCTTTTCTTTTTTATCCTGAATGAGGAAGCTATTTAATGCAATTATATCAAAGCTGCTATTAAAGTCTCTTTTTGTCTTTTCACCCTCCCAACAAAAGTTCAAAACTATTTCATTTATTGAGCTCACCATATTAAGAGATGGTTAAATTGGGAGCACAGACCTGTACAGTGGCACACCCCTGTAATCCCTGCCATTTGAGAGGCTGTAACAGTATGAACACAAATTTGAGGCCAGTCTGAGCAGCTTAGCAAGACTATCTCAAAATAATATTTTAAAAAGGTTGACGCCAGGTGTGGTGCCTCACGCCTATAATCCCAGCCACCCAGGAGGCTGAAGCAGGACAACCACAATTTCAAAGTCAGCCTCTGCAAATTTAGCAAGTCCCTAAGCAATTCAGTGAAAACTTGTCTCAAAATAAAAAAGAAAAGGAAGGGGGAAAAGAAAAAAAAAAGGCTGGGTTTTTTGGGTTCAATCGCTGATTAGGGGGTGGGGGGAGGTGAGGATGTAACTCAGTAGTAGATTGCTTACCCTAACATGTGCAAGCCCTTGGGTTCAATTCCCAGTATCACAAAAAACAAAACAACAACAACAACAAAAAAAAAAGAAATTGAAGCATAGTAAAAAATTGTAAGCATAATTCTCAAAAAATAACAACAAAAATCCTGAAATTACATTTTTAAAGTGCTAAGAAAAAATAATTAGAAACAGAACACAGCTAAACAATCAAAAATGAAGATAAAACAAAGATGTTTTCCAATAAAGTGTTTATCATTAATATATCCTTACTAAAGTAAACACCTAAAGGATGTATACATCTATTCAACAAAAAGAAAAGAATAAACTGCAAGAAAGATTGGTAACAGCAAATACATATGGGTAAAATGAAATAATCACTAACAGCACAAAACAATTATTAATTAGAATTATTCAAGGTGAAGATGTATCTTAGTGGTAGAGTCCTTGCTAAGCATGCACAAGGCTCTGCATTCCCTCCTCAGCATTACAAAAAAAAAAAAAAAAATCACTCAACATTAATACAGATTTCTTTGGAACAGTCTCATTCTCAGAAGTGCTCATTTTGATTCTGATCAACACTTTTTGATATGTGTAGTATACAGAAGGTAAGAAGCTGAGTTGGCCCCAATACATTCTGACCAATGGCTTTGATCAATTGGGCACAGCCATCAAAATAGCTCCTGATCAGCTGTATTTAGCCATGTGAAGCTGGGCTTTGCCACCTCGCCCCACCCAGCCCCATCCTAACACTTCTAGAACTCAAGTCTTAGTTCAAGGCATTCTTCCCACTTCCATATTCCACAAGTCAAAAAAATAACATTCTAAATAGATTTTCTTTCTTTTTCTTTTGGGTACTGGGGATTAAACCAGGGGTGCTTTACCACTCAGCTATACCCCAAGTTTGTTTGTTTGTTTTTAAGACAGGGTTTTGTTAAATTGCTGAGGCTGGCCTGGAACTTGAGATCCTCTTGCCTCAGCCTCCCAAGTCACTAGGATTACAGTGGCCACCATGCTGAGCTCTAAATATGTTTCTCAATGAGCTTTAAGGTAAGATCTTATAGCTTTGGGGGAGTACAACTTTTGGCTTTGGACTAAGATTCAGGCATTGCAATTAGTCATCATTTTCTTGAATTTGTACCAAAAGAGTGCTTTGTGTTTTTTCCTCTAAAGGAGAAGATACCACACAGGAACAGAGAGGGAGGGAACACATAAACCCACTGAAAGCTTCCTCATATTATCTGAATGCTTGCCTGGGTTCCTGTATATTCACAGGGGTAAAGATCTCCAATCTAGCAGGGGATCATTAACTCCAGGCCAGCCTCAGCAATTTAGTGAAACCCTGTCTCAAATTAAAAATAAAAAGGAGTGGGGAAAACAAAACAAAACAAAAAAAGGAGTGGGGATACAACATAATGGAAAAGCATTCCTGGATTCAATTTCTAGTAACTCCCCCATAGCCCCCAGGAAAAAAAGTTCCTGGGGTGGGATTGTGGCTCAGCGATAGAGCGCTCGTCTATCACGAGCGGGACCCGGGTTCGATCCTCAGCACCACATAAAAATAAAATGCATTATGTTGTGTCCATCTACACCAGAAAATAAATATTAAAAAAAAAAAAAAAGTTCCTGCCCATCACAGAATAGTAACACACCTGACAACCCAGAACTTTGGAAACAAAGAACCAGGTAAAAGACCCAGGAGAAAGGTAAGTGTTTATTTAACCAAGTAAAAGTTATTACATTTTCAGAAGACAGTGCCATTCCAAGAAAGAGGATAGGTTGGGCTGGGGTTGTGGCTCAGTGATAAAGCGCTCCTGCACATGTGCGACCCTGGATTCAATCCTCAGCACCACATAATTAATAAATAAATAGATAGATAGAATGAAGTTGTTGTGTCCCACTACAACTAAAAAATAAATTTAAAAAAAAAAATAGACAGAATAGCTTAACACTAAGGTTCAAAATTCACTAAAGGAAGAGGGGAAAGCCAGGCTCCTACTGCCTTTCATCCCCCCAAAACACATCATTCCAAGGCACACATTAATGGCCCTGACATGCTCAAATCTTACATAGCCATCAGGATACAATGTCCAAAAAAAAACAGTCTCTCATTGTCTAGAGGAGCCAACAAACACACAAAGAGACTAACAATACCAAATGACAAGCACTACCTCAGAGGTAAGCAAAAGAGGGTATGGTAGGCACAGGAGGCAACAACTCAGATTCTCTCCCACCCACGACTTTCACACATTTAGAGGTCTTAAATTTGAACTCTCCAAAGTGCTAGCATGAAACACCTTTCCTGATTTGAACCTCACAACAACCCAGGAAGTAGGTAAGATCATAATTGACACCATATGAAAAATGAGACTCTAAATAAATCACCTAGTCAAGACAACACGCACCCGGACCTAGTCCCTTCCCCAGTTCTAATTTATGCCCAACCCTCAAAATCCCAACTGGAGCCAAACTCGCACTAGCTATGTAATACTGGACAAATTAAACATTATATACCTCAAGGTCCCCACCTGTAATAAACTAAGTATAACAAGGTTTCTAGACAAATTGTTAAAAATATGATTCTTATAAAGGGTGCAACACAATGCTAGAAACGCAGTGGGCGCTCAGGCAATGTTTAGTGGTACTGTTGTTGACAATAACAGGCGAGGACTTTCCGTTACAGGACCCCTCGATTACAGTCCTTTCAGGAACTTGCACTACCCGCCATCCCGGTCGCCCTCAGACAAAATCCCACGGACACGCCCCCAAACAGGCCCTCCCCCTTAGGCCCTCCCACAGCTTCCCTCCCACAAGCCTTACCCCCGATTGACTGTCCCCTTTTAGACTCGGTCACCAAGAAGGGCTTCCGCTCGCACCGACCTCTCCAGCACCCCTTTAGGCCTGGGCATCCCTGCGGGCGCCCAGGCCACACACGAGCAGTGGGCCCGCGCCGGTTACCTGGCCGCGACTCCCGCTCCGCGCCACGCGCTCCCCGCGGTCGCCGCTCGCCGCGGACTCGCGCCAGCAGTGGCAGTACACAATTAGTTTAAACTATGGCCCCGCCCCTTCGCGCCGCCCTCTGATTGGCCCCTGTCAGCTGCTGTCGTTCTAAGGGTACGCTTGAGGACCCAGGAAAAGGAAGTGTGAGGGCCACTGGGAAAGGCGAAGTCGTGTCACACTTCCGGCCCCCCGACCTGGACTTGAGGGTTAAAGAACTACGAATCCCAGCACCACCCTGGGGCCCCGCCCCACCAGCTACAGGTCCCTGTTAGGCATCGTGGTTATGGCTCCAGCTGGGGCGTGGTGACGCAGGTAGTTGCCAAGGAGAGTTGCGATTAGTAACCCTAAAAGTAGTGGGGCGCAGTGGCTGGAGCGGAAGCAACTGTAGGTGAGTCGGGCGGGAAAACAGGAACAAGGGAACCAGAACACTATAGAGAGGGGAGGGGCTCCACAAAAGAACTAGAAAACTCTCTAATCAGAGACCTTCTCCCAATCCTAACCCCCTTTCACAGTGAACTCAACACTCCACCATATAGGATAGACTGGGGGGTAGGAGAGGGGAAGAGCGCTGAGATACATGCCCATACAGATTTAAGGGTGCTTCCTAACCCCCTATCGCAACATCAAGGTTTCCAGGACGCATGCCTCAAGTCCCAAACTCACCTAGGAGATCGGAAATCTGGAGTTGGTTTTCCTCAGAGGAACCGAGACAGGGGAATAGCACTAGATAGACTAAATCATGGCCCCGAATTCTTGGAGATGTGGAAATTTTATGAAGCTTGAAGGGTCACTTTCCTTCCTCTTCCAAACAGTAAGATCCATTCTCAGAACGTCTGCATGTTCCTCCCATACACACTGCAAGTATCTCCAAATTAACCTCTTCTTCCTACACCTTCATGGTCTGCTTCTTGAAGCTCAGTAATTAAGCTTCATTTCCTTTTGCAGTCCTCGTGACAGAGTTGTTGCATTTAGTAACACACCTAGCTCTTTCAGTCTCTTTATGCTCATAACAGATCTATCTGTGAGTCAAGAATGTTTATCCCCATTTCACAGACTGGAAAACCAAAACCCATTGAAATGACTTGCCCAAGGCCACACATCAAATCAGTAATAAAGCTATAAGTAGACTCCAGTTCTTCAAGTTCCAACCACATCTCTTTAGCTTAAACGTACTGTCTATATATCTTAAAGGCTTTTTCCAAGAAATGGGTTAAACTGCCCCAGAGAAAAGGAACCTGTATGGCCTACTTTGGGCTATTTATACTTAAGCCTGAATGAGTTTCAGGTCCTTCCCTGAAAGTTTTAATGAGAAAGGGAACTAGAGAGACTAAAGACACTAGGAATTGAAGATATTTAAACAGAAAACAATCTGGCTAACAACCCCTGTGTTCTGAAGTGCCCATAAGTAGCTAGACCTGATTATTGACCCATTCCTGTCTTAAAGTTCTTCCAGGCTTGTTTTTGTTTGCTTGCTTGTTTGTTTGTACTGGGGATTGAACTCGGTGGTTCACCACTGAATTACACCCCAGCCCTTTTTTATTTATTTATTTATTTATTTTTTAATTTTGAGGCAGATCTTTCTTGCTAAGTTGCTGAGGCTGTCCTCAAACTTCTGGTCCTCCTTCCTCAGCCTCCCAAATCGATGAAATTACAGGCCTGGCCAGGGTTGGTCCTTTGTCTGCTTCCCACCTCACTTTATCTTCTCTTCTTGAGTCCTCCTCCCACCCACAATTTTCATTTGTCACCTGTATGCAGTGTATCCAGCTCAGCCCTCATATCTATGTTCTATATCCGTATAGCCAATTGCATCCTTCATTATCTCCTTCAAGATATCTCAAAGGCAGGGCTGAGGATGTGGCTCAAGTGGTAGCGCGCTCCCCTCGCATGCGTGAGGCCCCGGTTTGATCCTCAGCACCACATACACCGCCAAAAACTAAAAAAAAAAAAAATAAATATTAAAAATTAAAAAAAAAAAAAGATAACTCAAAGGCAACCATCTGTACACCACTCCAACCCAACCCTCAACCCTCCCCTCCAAGCCTGAATGTCTTCCAGTGGTCCCACAATATATAATAAGCCCCAAACCCAAGTATCCCCCCCCCAGTACTAGTCTGGGGCCGGGTTTGTGGCTCAGTGGTAGAGCACTTGCCTAGCATGCGTGAGTCACTGGGTTCCATCCCCAGCACCACATAAAAAAACTAAATAAACAAAATAAAGGTATTGTGTCCATCTACAACTAAAAAAAAAATAAAAAGACAACAGTCTTGCTGAGTTGCCTAGACTGGTCTTAAATTTTCAATCATCCTGCCTCCACCTCTCAAATAGCTGGGATTCACCATACCCAGGCCAAGTTATCTTTCATACTTCTTCCATTCTTCATCTATCATTAAGTCCAGCCAGCTTAACTTCCTAAATATCTTTTTCTAGTCCACATCCTTCTTGCCTTCCTTCCCAGCCATTTTGTGAACTGTAACCAAATTAATCCTTCAAAATCAAACCTGATGATATTCACTCTCCCACCCCAACCTCATTTAAATGTATAGTTTGTGGCTTTCTATTGCTCTTAACATAATGCAACATCTCAGGGTGGCTCCTGCCCACTCTCTAACCTCTACTCTAATCATAATACCTACTTCTCACTTCAGTTACATATCCTTCTTTAAGGTCTTCAAGCTGTGACTTCTGTCTGAAATGCTTTTCTTTTTCTTTTGTTGCTGGGGATTGCACCCAGGGCTTTGTGCCTGCTAAGTGTGCAATACCACTGAGCTACACCCCCAACCCCTGAAATGCTCTTCCCCCTCCTATCCTGTATTTTCTCCCCCTGTACTTTATCTTTTAGAGTTGTCAATCAGTTCTTCAGTAATGAAAATATCATATCCCTAAATTAGAGCAACCTCATGTCCTTCTCCTTGTAATATAATTCATTTGCAGTTTTTTAGGTATTAAGTACCTGCTGCTTGCCACCACTATGAGATTCAACTATGAGAAAAATATGGTTCCTGCCCTGGTGGAGTTTATAATCATATAAAGAACAAGCAGATAATTATAGTGTTATGAGTGCTGTGGTGGCAATAAATATAGGGCATTATGGAAACCAAGAAAAGAAGTTCCATGTCGAGATTTGGGGATAAGGGTAAGCTTCTCAGAAAAGTGGAATCCTAAGATAAGTCCTAAAGTAAGGACGAACAAGAATAAAACGGATAAAGAAAGAATCTATATTCCAAATAGAGAGTAAAAGGAGAAACTTTTCCAAAGGCCTAGAGGCAGGTGCAGAGAATTTGCTGTGAATTGTTGCATTTGGCTGAACTGCAGGTAGAGGTGAGGATATGAGATGGGAGCAGAGTGTAGACCAGGCTGAATCTTGAGCTTCCCTTTGGCACCTGGGAATATAACTTGCCAGAATACATTAGATTATGTAACAGATTTTTCCAACATTCTTTGGTTTTTCTCCTACCTGTAGTCTACAAGTAGTAAGCTAGGCTGATCAGTCTTCCAAGTTCCCCACCTGGTTATTCCTCAAAGCTTCCCGTAACTTTCTGTTATTACCTGTCTGAGACAGGGCAGAAATAGACTGGCAGTAAATCAAATTCAAGTTGTTAGTAATTTCCCCAAACTGGAAACAAATCTGTGTCAATTTGGAGCTGGATAAATAAGGTTAAAAGTATGAAAGATTCTATGGAATACTCTGCAGCTGGTAAAAAGGGTATGAGAGCCAGGTGTCGTGGTACATGCCTGTAATCTCAGTGACTTGGGAGACTGAGGCAAGAGGACCACAAGATCAAAATCACCCTCAGCAACTTGGAAAGACCCTAAGCAACTCAGCAAAACCCTGTCTCTAAATAAAATACAAAATATGGGTGGGAATATGGCTTAGTGGTTGAGCACCCCTGAATTCAATCCCCAGTTAAATAAATAAATAAATATTTTAAAAGGACTGGGGATGTGGCTCAGTGGTGAAGCACTCCTAGATTCAGTCTCCAATACAAAAAGAAATGAGTACAGAGACAACAACTGTTTACATTTATTGAGCTCTTGTTGTAGGCCACATAATAGATTCCAAGATAGGATTTGTGTTCATTTCACAGGTGAGCAAACAAGCTATGATGAAATTTTGTTCAAAGTACAGTGGGGGTAAGCATCAGTTTGCTATTGCTGTATAACAAAGCATCCTAAAACACAGTGGCTTACAACAATAAGCATTTATTCTTGCTTCTGTGTCTCTTAGTTGTATGGTTTTGGTCATGGCTAACCTCATCATGTGACTGCAGTCATCTGTAGGTTGGGTGGCTCTCCATAGCCTATTTTGGGATGGCCCCAGCTGGGATCACTGGCTCTCTTTCACATGTTGATCACCTGTACATCTCTCATATCATTCCAAAAGGCCAGCCACGTTCTCACGGCACTAGCAGAGAGCAATCTCTGCTTTAAAGTTTGTTAGCTTCATGTTTATCAACATCCCATTGGACAGAACATGTTAAAATGCTGAACCCAGCATCAAAGAGAGATGGAACTACAAAGGTATAGGGCAAAAAGGGATGGATACAGGGGAGACCATGAATAGGGACCATCAAAGCAATCAGTCTAATTCAGGATGCACTGATCAATTTTATCTGGAAAAGAAAGACTTTATAAAAGAAGGTACACTGGAGCTGAGTGTTGAAACACGAAAGAGTATTCACTAAGCAGGCAGCTGTTACTGGAAACTGGATGCTGGCCGGTTTGCCACAATCAATAGAAACCCAGCAGGTCTTTCTGTGCTCATGACAGGGTTCTATTATTTGTACTTGGCTTCATTCCTTTTGGTCAGGCACAGGGCAGCAGGCACTCAACAAATGTTTGCAGTATTGAATTGATATCTTACTGTGAATGAAGTGTGGAATGAAACAGCTGAACCTGGGAACCAATTGCTAGAACAGCTTAGCATCGAGTCTCCCAAAACAGAAAACAGAAATCCTGTACGAGGCAGTTTTTCTTTCATTCATCCCACAAGTTTCCTGATTGCCTGTCATAAACCAGGTTCTGTGTAAGATGATGGATAAGACGCTAGCTCACAACCTCCATTTAAACCTGTTTAAATGGAGAAAGCTAATAACTCTTTCCAACAAGCAAATCTGATCAGCTTCTTAGGGCTCAATTTTTACTACTAACTCATTTAGAAAATTCATCAGGAGCTACACAAAATTAGGTCTTAGGATGCACTGAGAGTCTATGGTTACTAAGGAGATTAACTGTAAAAATATGCCCTTCAGTATTTTAAGGTAAAATCCATGTTCAGTGGTATAGAATTCTAGGGTTCCAACCCAGTACATATTTTGAGAGGAATATTTGGTCTTACTCAAAGGCATCAAACCTGTTACAGGTGCTGATGTGGGAAGGACTCTAAGCTAGGTTTCATTTGCTATTTGCTTTGTTGAGTACCTGTAGATTTTTTTTAACCCATTAAGTCTCAGGTTTCAATTCTGTGCAAATATTCAATCTGTTGACACAGGTGCATTAAAATAGATTGGAAATACAGTCCAAAGCTTATATATGTGTTTTATATGCACTTTACCACTGAGTTACCTCCCCAGCCCTTTTTATTTTTTATTTTAAGACAGGGTCTCACTAAGTTGCTGAGATTGGCCTTGAACTTGCAATCCTACTGCCTCAGCCTCCTGAGCCACTGGGATTACAGGTCTGTGCCACTGCACCACTATGATTTTCTTTTTCTTTTGGTATCAAAGATTGAACTCAGGGGCACTCAGCCACTGAGCCACATCCCCAGCCCTATTTTGTACTTTATTTAGAGAAAAAGTCTCACTGAGTTGCTTAGTGCCTTGCTTTTGCTGAGGCTGGCTTTGAACTTGCAATCCTCCTGTCTCAGCTTCCCAAGCTGCTGGGGTTACAGGTGTGTACCACTACACCTGGCTCCACTATATTTTTTTTTTAGTTGTAGATGGACACTTATCTTTAGTTGTTTATATTTATGTGGTGCTGAGTTTTGAACCCGGTGCCTCATGCATGCAAGGCAAGTTATCTATCACTGAGCTGCAACCCCAGTCCCTCCACTATAAATTTTTATAGGTGTTCCACAACTGGGATGATGGGACAAAATGGAATAAGACTTAAAAAAAAAAAAAACTTTTTTTCTTTTTTGCAGGGAGGACTGGGGATTGAACTCATGGGTGTCTTACCACTAAGCTATATCCCCAGTCCTTTTTTTTTTTTTTAATTTTGAGACAGGGTCTCACATGAAGTTGCTGAAGCAGGCCTCGAACTTGCAATCCTGCTGCCTCAGCCTCCAGAGTCACTGGGCCTATATGTGTGTACCAGCATGGCCAACTCAAGACAAAAAATTCTTATTGTAATGTTAATCCAGCATGTCTAAGAAAGTACCTGTCAGTTAGGGCAATAAGAGCCTCTACCACATTGTCTATGTGTTCCTACAAAATCCATTCTGCTGCTACTTGTGGGATCTTCTTAGCCAGCCCCAAATCTTCCTCCTTGTGACTTTTGCCAGTTCCGCCTTCTGTTTCAGCTTGACTTTCCGCTCCCAGGACCTTCTATCTCCAGTGACAATCATGGTTATCTCCAGAGTAGAAATCAGGATCTCCTACTCCTCCACATAGTTGGTAACCTGCTCTAGATCGACCACACCCCTGTCATGCTTCTGTTGTTCTTTGAAGAGACTCTGGGTTCCTGGTCTCAGTCTCCAACACCAGCTCCTATGTCCCTGTCATTCATCACATTCTGCCTATAGATTTGATATCTAAAGATTCAGGTCTCCCTAATCAACAGCACATGTCCATGGGGCCAGTCCACCACTCAACAGAGAATTCAGCTGTTGTGTGACTCAAGCTGGCACTTCCCCAAAGCTCAGATGAGATTGCTATATTTTGGGGGGTTGGGGGAATTCAAAGGGATTGAACCCAGAGGTGCTTTACAACTGAGCTTCACCCCCAGACCTTTGTATTTTTTGAGACAGAGTCTTGGGCCTTGCCAAATTGCTGAGGCTGGCCTTGAACTTGTGATCCTCCTGCCTCGGCCTCCCAAGTCACTGGGATTACAGGTATGCACCACTGTGCCTGGTGAGACTGCTACTTTTTGAAAGCAAGACATTCCCTTTGTAACCCTCTAAACCTACTAAACTCTATCCTTGCCTACATTAAATCACCAAAAAATGAATTTATTTGTACTGTATTTCAGGTCCTTGGTTTTTAATAGAAAATCCATTTGTTTATTTTGGTATTGTTGAGGATCAAACTTATGGCCTCAAGCATCCCAGAGCAAGTGCTTTACCACTAAGCTAAAGTCCCAGCCCCCAGAAATTCCATTTTAAGAATACTTCCCATCAGGCATGGTGGCATACACCTGTAATCCCAGTGACTCAGGAGGCTTGAGGCAGGAGGATTGCATATTCAAGATCAGCTTCAGGAACTCAGGCCCTAAGAAACTCAGTGAGACCCTATCTCAAAATTTAAAAACAAAAATTAAAAAAAAAAAAGGGCTGTGGGTGTGGTTCAGTGATAGAGTGGCCCTAGGTTCAATCTCCAGTACCAAAAACAAAACAAAACTTGCCAGTTTCATTGTCTCTGCACATAGAATAATTTATTCTTTGAATACAGTGATGAAAACTAAATAGTCCAAGGTTTTCCTTTTTGCTTTAGCTGCCAGGAATTTTGGAACTACATATAGTCATAGGTTTTATGTGTGTGATACTGGGGATTGAACCCACACGACCACTGAGCTACATCCCCAACCCTTTTTATTTGAGACAGGGTCTGGCTAAGTTGCTTAGGGCCTTGCCAAATTGCTGAGGCTGACCTTAAACTTGCAATCCTGCCTCAGCCCCTCATGTTGCTGGGATTACAGACATGTACCACTGTGCCCAGCTAAGTGTAGATTATTAAAGTCCCTGATACATCTCTTCCTTTAATCTACTTTCTGATCTTTCTTTTCCACATTTATTTTTCTGCATCTGCATTGTCCAGTATAGCCATTAGTCACAAGTAGCTAATTCAAATTGGGATGGGGGGGCATAATGTAAAATATCTTAGTAATTTCTAATATTGATTACATGCTGAATATTTTGGATATATTGGATTAAATAAAAATTTGAGATGAAATTAGTTTAATTTTACTTTATTATTGCTCCTAATTTAATTACATGTTAAAAATTACATATGAAGCTTGCAATTGTGATTTTTATTATATCTCTATTGGACAGCACCGTTCTACAGATCATCCTGCTTTAACAGTGTGTTACTGAAAACCTCATCCTTTTGGAAAGGAGGGAAAGTATTAATGCAGAGGAGGTGACAGCAGTAGATGATGTGCAAAAGGGGGAGGTTAACTAGGACATGCACTTGTCCATCTATTTGTCTTTTGTTTTTTTAATTAACAAAAAAAAAAAAAAAAGAAAGAAAGAAAAAAAACCTCCTTGGCAAAATGAGTTTTTTCAGCTCTCTTCATCCCAGGTAAGTAGTATTCTGTAGCTTGCCCATCTCCAGTAAAAACCTGTTCTCAGATTTACTTTAGCTAATATACTGGAAAGGATCTGATAAGACAATTCACACCACATTGCAAATAACTGGTAACTTTATGTTTACCCCTCTCAGAGTGAATTTCCATTTTAACAGGGAACAAACCCTGAACCCAAAGGAACGAATCCCTAATGGTGGAGTTTCAGTCATCAGTGACAGGTGAGTGAGAAGTAGAATCTGGTTTTATGTGTGTGTTTATATGTATGGCTACACTCTGGATGTGGTTGAGAGTAGGGTCTTTGGATAGAAAGGTGATGTGGCTGACCAACAAGCTGAGGAAAGAAGGTAGCAAATCCCCAGCTGGATCAGAAATGGGAAGGGCTCTCAGACACCAACCAGATTCAGTGCTGGCCCTCAAGGGTTTATTAAGCAATAGAATAACACAGTTGATGTCACCAGAGGGTAGGTATGAAGATGGTCTCTGTGGTAACTACTATGGAGTAGCAGAAAGACTTTGAATAGGATTCAGGAGACTTGTTATTGCAGTCCACTGACTCACTGGCTTAACTCTGGGCAAGTCCTTTACCCCTTGGGTCTCATTTCTTTCTCTAGAAAATAGAAATGGGTGTTTATAACTATGAAATGAGTTCTAAGAGATGTGAAGGTGCTTTGAGAAGTGCCTTACAAATGCAAGAAATAATGATTAATATCTTAAAATGGAAATGCAGCTGGGCAGGCCTACTAGAATGGAGAGTAGAAAGCAGGGATGGAAGGCTATGGGGAAATTGAAGTTTGGATGTACCTTGTACCTGGAAACATGTGTTCTCTGTCCTCCTAGGAACCCGGACTACCAAGGCCCATGCTTGCACCTGATGAATGATGGCCTGAACTATGAGCAAACGGGACTATAAGAACACTTCGGTGCAGGAGCCCCCTCTCGACTACTCCTTCAGAAGCATCCACGTGATCCAAGGTCAGCCCACAAAATCCAGCACTCCCACTCACCATGGCAGCAGGCCTGGTATGGTCCCTAAGGAGGGACCAGTCTTCCACTTAAAAGTCTAAGAAGACTCTGCACATACACTTGCAGATTTGTTGTTGTTATCTTTGCAGGATACGAAGGAAATGGGAGATTTTTTTGCCCTCTCCCGCTGGTGCCAGGGATCAAACCCAAGACCTCACACATGCTGTGCAAGCACACTGAGCTCCTGACTTTTAATTTTTATTCACCTAACTCATTTCATTTGAAGGTTCTCAGGTGTGGGGAGGGAGGCAGGATTAGGAGTCTCTTCACAAGCAGTGGTACTCTGCTCCAGTACCCTTCTGCCACCTCAGGATCCCACCTACTCCAGGATTATGACAGACAGCCACCTAGTGGATGCTGCCTGACCTGAAACTGAGGAGAGGAGAGTTAGTGGTGGGTGAGGGTGGGAACAGTGTGTCTAATAAGAGAATGGAAGGGAATGTGAAGACATGCTGGCTAGGTTTGGCAAATACTTCCTTCCCCTTTAGACTGATTAAAAAAAAAAAAAGAAAGAAAAAACAAGGGGGTGCTTAGGGGCAAGAGGGAATAAGGACCCAAAACCCAAACTGGTGTCTAGTTCTGACTCTGCAATTGACTATGTGCCTAAGCAAGGTCCATCTGTCTTATGGACCTCATTTTTGAAAAATGAAGTGGGGGTGGGAGTGTTGGATATGTCTCTCCTCCTCAGCCAAACTTTCTGAGGTGGTTGTTAAGGCTACCTTCTTATACTTCCTTTCCTCCCATTCACTCTGGAACTCACTCCATTCTGGCTTCTGCCAGACTCCCTGGACATATTTAAAACTGTTCTTTCCTGGTTCTCCCTGTCATCCCATAATTACTTGTTAAGTTCTTTTATGGCTTCCTCTTCCTCCTTGACCCTTGTCTCTATTCTCACTCTCTGGAGAGTCTCTGTTCCCTAACTTGTACACCTTATACTAGTTCTTTATGAGATAACAGAACTGGCATCCACCCAGTCACCCAAAAAAAAAAAAAACTGAGTACCACCATTGAATATACTATTATACTATCTTCACATCCAGTTGGCCAAGTCATGTTGATTTTATGTCCCTCTCATCTCTTGCTTAGATGACTGACAGAGCCAAATTGGTCTTTTCATGCCACCCACCCCCTAAAATCTATACTTGAATTGGAAGCTTCACAGTGAGCTTTCAAGTGAAAAATCTGAACCATCTCCTTTGCTTTAAATGCGTCAGTTCCTTCCCATCACCTATAGGAAAAAGCCCCAAACCCTTAGCTTGGCATTTAAGACTCATGATTGAGACAGTTGTGGTGGCACACATCTGTAATCCCAACAACTCAGGAGCCCAAGGTAGGAGGATCACAAATTCAAGGCTAACCTTGGCAATTTAGTTGACCTTGTCTCAAAATAAAATTTTAAAAAGGGGTTGGAGATGTAGCTTGGTGGTAGAGTGCCCCCAGAACCATACCAAAAGAAAGGAAAAAAAAATGTTGAGACCAGACAAGTAACTAACTTAGCAAGACTCGTATCCAAAAACAAAACAAAATGCACTGGCATGTAGTTCAGTAAAATGATGACCTAGTATGTATAACCCTGGGTTTAATCTCCAGTACTGGAAGGAGGGAAAACAATTTGGTTTGCTTCCTTTTCCCTTCTTATGTAGTGTGCATGTGCACACTCCCTCGTGCTGTTCTACAGTTCTGTAGCTTTGCTTATGCTGTTCACATTCTTTGCCTGGTTAACATCTCCACTGAGGTCCAGCTCAGGCTTCACCTTCCCTGGGAAACTTCCCTGAGCTCCTAGACTGAGTGAGGAGAAGCACTCATCATACTATACTGCCAGTTTGCTTCCATTTTACCTGAACCACCTCCTCCAAGACACAAACATCTGCTTTATCCCTTCCCTATTGTTCACAGAGAGCCTGGCATGAACTATCTCTTGTTGTGTTCACCATCATATATCCAATATTTTAGACATTGTAGCTCACCATCAGAAGACAAGGAGGACCATCAGGGTGAATTCTATTGAATTAAATTCTATGTGTACCACTAGTGGACAACTCTTGATATTTGGGCTGTCATCTTCCTGGTTCAAGCCCAGCAACTCTAGTTCTTAGATTTCCTCATCTATAAAATAGAATTACCACCGGGTGCAGTGGCACACGCCTGTAATCCCGGTGGCTCAGGAGGCTGAGACCAGAGGATCACAAGTTCAAAGCCAGCCTAAGTAATTCAGCAAGACGTTGCGTCTCTAAAATAAAATATAAAAAAGGGCTAGGGATGTGGTTCAGTGAACCCAGCCCCTGGGTTCAATCCCCAGTACCAAAAAAAAAAAAAAAAAAATAGAAGTGGCTTTGCTCATTCCTAACTCCACACAGAGGTGGTACACAGAGGACTCAATGATACCACAGACACGAGACCATCTGAACCTGGAAAGCCAAGAGTTTGGGATGGGAAGTTTTTGACCCCATAGTTAAATCTTGCATTGATTGATAAGAGCTTATGGAACAGGGGTCACTCTAAACTCAAGCATAGTGTTATGGCCTGTTAGCCCTTCGGTTATATCTGGGGATGCTCATCTTGACAGATTTGTTCCTTCCAGAAAAGCAAAGATGATATACCCAAGCCATACTTTGTCTTCACAGATCTGATAAGCGAGGAGCCAAGGGTAGGGCTCCGACCACTGAAGCATTCAAAGTCAGGAAAGTCATTGACCCAGTCCCTGTGGCTGAACAACAACGTCCTCAATGACCTGAAAGACTTCACCCAGGTGGCTTCACAGATCCTGGAGCACCCAGAGAACCTGGCCTGGATTGACTTGTCTTTCAATGACCTGACTTCCATTGACCCTGTGAGTTTCTAGCTGTAGGAGTTCAGTCAAGGGGTGAGAATGGAGAGGCGGGTAGGGTAAGGCCACTGTCCATCCCCCAGCCTCTCTACCATCTTATGAAGGAAGTTAAACAAGCAGCATGGTGTAGTATAAAGCACATGGCTTTAAGGTCACACAGATGCAGATTCCAACCTTGGCTTTGCCTCTTAACTGTGACTTTGGGCAAGCCACGTAACCTCTTAAAACCTCAACCTTCCTGTCTGAAAAATCAGGATAATATGCCAGCATCATAAAGGTTTTGTAAGGATTAAATGAAAAGATACAAGAACCAAGTGGCACATGGATAGCTGAAGCAAAATTGTAGCTGTCATTACTGGGTACCTACTATGTCTCATGCTGAGTTCTGCTATGAATGAGGTAGATAGAAAAGTACAACACTTACTTTTTGCAACTTCTGGTTCATGTTTTAAGAAATGGGGAGACTGTAGCCCTGATATAGTGATCTTAATTTAACTAATATCTTAAAAGTTTCTCTTATGTACCTAGCATGATACTCTGTACTCTGGTCCCTTGCTGTGATAAGACTTTTAGTTCACCTCAAGTGGGAAGGTCTTTAGTGAAGCAGCAAGTAAGGCTCAGGGACCAGCAGGAGAGCCATCACCTGGCCAGACAGTAGCAGTGATGGGACTAGGGGCCTATACCTCCTGTCCAAGACAGAAGGTCCCCATACCTTCTTTCCTGAGATCACAGTTCTATTTCAATGTGATATCCCTCTAGCCCTTAAAAGGTAAATTAAAGTAGGTTAGAATCCTCCAATATAGCTATAAGGATTGGAATAGAGGGCAAGTTGTTCCCCAAACTCTTCCTTTTTTTGCCAGCAAGTTAGTCCTGAGCAGAAATCAAGGGTCTTGCCAGACTGTCTTTCGGTTTCCTCCCTAACAGATCCTAACAACATTCTTCAATCTGAGTGTCCTCTATCTTCATGGAAACAGTATCCAGAGCCTGGGGGAAGTGAATAAGTTAGCTGTCCTTCCTCGGCTTCGAAGCTTGACACTCCATGGTAACCCCATAGAGGAAGAGAAGGGGTATAGGTAAGTATCCTGTCCCTGAGCTGGGATTCAGTTGGGCTCCCCTGGGATACCACAGAAGGGGAGACAGGAAATCCAAGACCATTCTTCTACCACATGTAAACCTGGGAAGGGAGAACTATAAGCATTTCTTGCTATCAGTTTGGATGAACCCAGTCTCTCTCACACCATATTCAGGTCCCTCCATTCCTTGCAGTGAGGGAAAAGAGCAGCAACAGGTGGAGGGGAAGGGGATTCTGGTGGGGGGGCAGGCCCCCAGCCCAAGTCTTCCCTACAGGCAATATGTGCTGTGCACCCTGCCCCGTATCACCACATTCGACTTCAGTGGGGTCACCAAAGCAGACCGTACCACAGCTGAAGTCTGGAAACGCATGAACATCAAGCCCAAGAAGGCCCGGATCAAGTAGGATGCACTCTGAGGTTCCCAGGACCCCAGCAGTCCTGAAGGCCTGAAGCTAGTCAGCTTAGTTTGAGAATAAATGATTTGAGCTGTTGTTCAGAGTAGAAGTCACTTGTACCTTGCAAAGATGCCCTCCAACTCCAGCAACTGCCAGTAGCTCTAATATTACTTCATTGAGGCAGGCAATGGTGGGAAAGGCCTGCTGGCCAGAGACACAGGGGACTTGGGTTTGCATGTGTCCTTGGAAAACTTATCTAGCCTCTCTGGGCCCCTCTTTTCTCTTCAACTTAGATATCATGGGATTAGAGATCAGCATTTCCCAAATTCTTCACAGAATGCCAGGTTCTTGGAGCTGCAACAGAGGCCTCAAAGACAGGCCCAGAAGATGGGCTATGTTCTACTTCAATCAGATCACAGTAGTCCTACTCTTAATATTTATATGTTGGTATTCTGCTTAAGATTCCATTTCATAGCCAGGCATGCCTATTAATCCCAGCAGTTTGGGAAGCCGAGGCAGGAGGATCACAGGTTCAAAGCCAGCCTCAACAACTTTTTAAGGCTTCAGCAACTTAGCGAGATCCTATCTCAAAAAATAAAAAGGGCTGGGGATATGGCTCAGTGGTTAAATGTCCCTGGGTTCAATTCCCAGTACCAAAAAAAAAAAAAAAAGATTTCATTTGATAAAAAGATCTTCTGATTTTGAAAACATTTGCTTGCTGGGTCCTTATTAAGCATCCCTAGCAGAATCTGGTCTCCTCCACCCCTAGCGCTATTGTAATTCCACTGAGCCTGAAGCAGGGTCTCCAGCATTCATAACTGCCTCAGATTTAGTTCTGTCCAGCTGTGACAGTGTTTGATAGGGATAAGAGCAGTCTTATCCAACTTGAGGTTAGCCTAGGCTGAGTCTAAGCTAAGCCTGGGAATTCTAAACGCTAATTCTCCTAGATTCCTCTTTTTTTTTGGTACGGAGGATTGAACCTGGGGCGCTTCACCACTGAGCCACATCTCCAGCCCTTTTTATATTTTATTTAGAGACAAGGTCTCCCCGAGTTGCTTAGGGCCTCACCAATTTGCTGAGGCTGGCTTTGAACTTAAGATCCTCTTGCCTCAGCCTCCCAAGCTGCTAGGATTACGGCGTGTCTCACCACACAGTTCTGGATTCCTCTTAATGATCCTAGAAGATACCTCCTCCCCCATCTCATTGCTCACAGACTTGAATAGCCAGAAATAAATAGTTGGGTAGTAGGCAGGACAGAGGGGCTGGAACCAGCACACAAATGAATACACTTCCTTTATCGAGGGTGACAAACAAAAAGAAAAAAAGACCAAACATGTAAAAACCCAGGGTGCTGGAAATACAAACTCAATTCATTCAAATTCAAGCTCATCCAGACCCTGGGCACAAACCCTAGTGAGGTGCATGGGAGCACCAAGTCAGAGAAAGGGGGACAGGAGTGAATCTGAGGCCAAGAGAAAGGGTGGGAAGGACCTCCCCCTAGGTCCCTTGGTGTTCACTCCCACAGTGGTATCTCCACCTTCCAATGACTGTGAAGACCTTCCAGTCCCTGTCCTCTTGGCTTCCACCCCAGCCAGGGCTTTGAAGGCCAGTCCTGAATGGTTCTACCCTCCCTTGCTCCATCCTCACTTGCTCAGGCTTCTAGCCTCGCTCTTCTCCTCCACGTTCTTCTCAGTGATTAGTAGCAGGTTAGGGTACTGTATAAGCCGAAGTGAGGCTGGGGGCCATGGGAGGTGGGATGGAGACAGGTGAAGAGAGGAGAAGAGCTGTCCAAAGACCCCTCTCTTCATGGGATCCCAAACTGTACAACCAGCTCCTCTTTTGCGTCCACACGGATCTGAGAAAGTGCACTGTAGGCATAAGCAGCTATCCTGGAGACCTGAGGCAGAAGGGCCAGAGAGGAAACGAATAGAGAAATATGTGAGAGGGGATCCAGAAAAGGAGAAATGGGGGAATGGGATGGCAGTGAGGGAAAAGAAGAGGGAATGAGGGAGGACAAAAAGCTGATAAGAGGGCTGGGGTTGTGGCTCAGTGGAAGAGTGCTCGCCTAGCACATGCAGGGCCCTGGGTTTGAGCCTCAGCACCACATAAAAATAAATAAGTAAAAGGTATTGTGTCCAACCACAACTAAAAAAAATAAAATAATAAAATAAAAAATAAAAAATAAAAAAAACTGATGAGAAAGGCAGAAGGAAAGAAAAAAAAAAAACACCCCAGAATAACAATCAAGGTTGAGGATAGAGAGACTGGTGAGGACAGAAAAAGTTAGAGAAACTGGGGTAGGCCACAAGGCTCCCTAACTCTACTCCCTACCTCTTCTAAGGCAGAATGTTTCCCTAACTCTACTCCATACCTCTTCTGAGGCAGAGTGGTAAACCCTTCTGCTATACTCTGGGCAGTTTGGGAAGGGCAAAGGAGGCAGGTTGGTGTGGCTCACCTGTTGCAAGTCAGAGAAGGGGATAGGCTCACTGGCCAGCACTTGGTGGGGCTGGCTGGTAAGAGACGGCAGCGGTGGCAGCTTCTTCCAATGGGTCAGGCTGCTGCTCAGCACAGCCAAGCGTGTGCTGGCCAAGAGGAAGGGGATAGGGAAGGTTAGTTAGGCCATAGCCTTCGCTTCCCTACCCGGTCCTGCCCAGTCCTGCCCAGTCCTGCCCAGCTCAGCAAGCCTCACTCCGTGAGGCCAGAGGAGCAAGATGACAGGGGCCTCACTCAGCTTATCACAAACTCACTCTTGGTGCAACTTTGTCCTCAGCACCCTCAAGATTACGCAGGGCAAACAGGGCTGACATAAACATCAACTGTGGCTTGTGGTCAGTCTCCTGGGCTGCACCAAAATGAGGAGGCTGTGCTAGGGCCCAGGCTCCAAAGATGGGAAGGTATGGAGGGCAGACGAGGGGCCCAAGCTGGCCCAATGTTCACCTGTACTGCCTTGCCCGGTCCATGTACTCATGCTGCTCCATGCCCTGGGAGTCTGCAGCAGACACATCGATGATGTTGCTTTGAGGAAAGAAGACAGAGAGGACGTGACAAGTACTTCTAAGGGGGACAAACATGACTCCATGCAGGTGCCAATTCCAGTGCTGTCTGACATCAATATCCCCACCTGCCCATTAGAGCAGGGCAGGGCCCAACACCACCTCTCCTCAATGACCTTATCCCATCCCCCATATCCAGGCCCACTCTACACTAGGCCTGTGCTGACACATACTTACCTAGCTGTTTTTGCAAGGATGGAAGAGAGCAGGGCCTGCTCATCTGTGCGAGCAGAAGGCAGGCTGTGGTAGTTGGGCTCAGCTCCATTGAGGGCTTTGGTGGGGGGACTACTAGGGTCCAATAGCAGCTTCCGCTCCTCTCGGTCCTAGGAGAGGCCATTGAGAAGTCAGGCCCAGGACTTTCCTGTGTTTCTCCCCTCAGCCCAGCTCTCATCTTTAAACACCAAAAATATTTTAAAATATGAATATTCAAAAGTGCCAACTTTATGGAATGTTAGGTAAGACTTGGTCCCTGACTGCCCTTAGGAGCTCAGCTGAGTTGGTGGTCTGGGATGAAGTAGACCAAGAGGTCCTAGAGGTCCTGCACAGATGAATAGAGGTACATAATAGGTGTTCAGAATACAACCCGGTACCCAGTGGAGAAAGGATATTGGAGGGAGAAGACAGAGGAGGTGGGAAAATACCAAAACAATAAGGTCTAGAGGGAAAATAGTGCAAGTCAAGTGCCTTCCTGATCCCTCAAACAAGGCTTGCCCCAGCAAAGCTGTCTGTTCCCAAGATGCAAAAGCCCTGGGCTGGGGATGTGGCTCAAGCGGTAGCGCGCTCGCCTGGCATGCGTGCGGCCCGGGTTCGATCCTCAGCACCACATACAAAGATGTTGTGTCCGCCGATAACTAAAAAAATTAAAAATTCTCTCTTTAAAAAAAAATAAATTAAAAAAAAAAAAAAGATGCAAAGGCCCTGGTGAGTCTAGACAAGATACTAGGCTCCAAGGACAAGCAAGCCCAACCCCTCACATGGCCATCCTGATCATCTCAGGGCAGAAACCTCTGCCAAGCCTTTGAGGGGATATCATGACTCTGCTCCCTTCTTGAGGTAGGTCCATTTACCTTAGGTGTTCACCCTCCTGTCTTGTGCTCTGTATATGACTCCCAGACCAAAGTGAAGCGTGCCTAGTATATCCTGACCTAAGAGAACAGTGGAGCTTTCCCTCTCTTGCCAAACTACCATACCTCTTTCATTTTTTTAAGCTTTCCAGATGCCTTTACTTATTTTGCAATAGTGGGGAATAGAACCCAGGGGTGCTCTACCACAGATCTTTATTATAATTATTTTTTATTTGGAGATAGTATCTTGCTAAGTTGCCCAGGCTGCCCTCAAACTTGCAATCCTCCTGCCCTGGCTGGGATTATGGACATGTGCCTCTATGCCTAGCTCATCATACCTCTTTCAATGTGACCTGAGCAGCCTCCTTCATTCTAGTAGCTCAATTACTACTAGTCTGCACTGATGACCGTTACATCCCCTAGAATTGACCTAAGTTGAAATCTAGCCTTCCTAGTCCTGTTTCAGGCCCTGTTCTAACCTGCTTCTT